GTTCTTTTAGCTTAATATAATGGGAAAACAATTCATTCTACAAGCTACAATTCTTTAGTGTTTTTCAGTTTTCTTCATTACAAATTATTAAAGTTTCTCTGGGATTGGTAAACTCTGCATGAAATGAGAAACTGCATTGTAAACACAGCTCACCCCCAGCGAAACTGATCAAGTGTTGGGTCTTCGATGCAATTATATTAGATGGTTTAACTTCAGTTGAGATACAATCAGTAGTAAAGGGTACTGGGGGAGAGAGATTACTGAGTGACAGTGTGAGGAAGATGGATTAACATCAGTTGAGATGTGGTCAGTAACGCAGGGAGCTGGTTGGAGGGTTATAGAGTGGAAGTATAAATTAGGGTGATAAAACAGATGCAATATAATTGAATTTTATTGAAACATTTGATAAGGTACAAGACAGCAGAGTCATGAATAAGGTTGGATTATATCCAATAGTTTTTTTTTCTGTGGGAGCGTCTTAAGAGCAGCGAGCATAATCTCAGAGTAAAGCATCACCCATTTAAGATAGAGATGAGGAGGAATTTCTTCTCTCACAGGGTAATGAACCTGTGGAATTCTTTAGCATGCAGAGCTGTTGAGGCTGAGTCATTGAGTATATTCAAGGCTGAGAGAGACATATTTTTAATCTGTAAGGGCATCAAGAGTTATGGGGAAAAGGCAGAAAAGTGGAGTTGAGGGTAATCAGATCAGCCAAGATCTTATTGAATGGTGGAGCAGACTCAATGGGCCGAATGGTCTACTTCTGTTCGTATGTTTTACGGTCTTATCGGTAATGAGTTAATAGCAGCAAAGAGAGAATGAGGGTTAAAGGTTCTTATTCAGATTAACAAATGGTCGGAAGTGATGCTCCATGAGGATAGGCATTGGGACCACTACTGCTTACAATTTATACAAGCAATTTGTACTGGGAATTTCAAATACCATTTCAAAATTTGTGGATGACACCAAATTGGTGAATGAGTTTTTGTAGAGAGCTGTGACAAAATAAGGAAAGCCTTGAATAAACTTGCGGAGTGGATATGTAATTGACAAACTGACCTCAATGTAGCTAAGTGTGAATTAGTATATTTTGGCAGGAAGAATAGGAGATGGCATATGCTTTGAAAATAAGTATCTAAATGGGAGAGGAACAGAATGATCTGGAGGTATAGATACACGACTCCCTGGAAGTAGTGACAGGGGTTAATAGACCAGTACAAAAAAAAACTTGGGTCCAATTTCAAAGGGACTGCGATTTTGAATAATTTTGTACTTCACTGAACTGGACAAGCCATATAAATAGTATGGCTGCAATGCAGGTCAGAGGCTTGGAATCCTGCAGGGAGTAACCCGCCCCCCCTGACTCATCAAAGCTTATCCACCATCTACAAGGCACAAGTCAGGAGACAGACCTGGTACAAAGGAAGATGGTTGTTGTTGGAGATCAGTCATCTCAGCTCCAGAACATCTTTGCAGGATTGTTTTGGGGGGTCCAAGAGGAGGAACAGAACACTGTTAGGGGGTGGGGGTGACAGGGAGTGGGAGATAGAGCTGTGGTGGTGGCAGGGTGGGTGGTAGTGACGAGGGTGTTCAATGCTTCGATTCCTGCAAGTCCTGGACTGTGAAAGGGAATTGAAGACCCTGCAGCCCTCCAGATTCAATATCGAGTTCAATAATTTTAGGGCCTAACTCTCCCATGTCCCAGTCCCCTACCCCACACACCAGGCCTTGTTACCACATAGCCTGCCATTACACACCATATGTTGTTAGTCTCTAATGGTCCCCATTAACAATATTCACCCTCCCAGCCTGATCTTTATCAACTCTTTGTCTGTCCAACTGCTCTTCTTTCTCTTTAGGTTCTATCCTATCGTTTACTCCCTACCCCATCCTCTTCTCCTTTTTTCTGCATATAAACTGACGTTTTCCCAGCCACCATCAGTTCTGAGGAAGGGTCACCGGACCCGAAATGTTAACTCTGTTTTTTCCTTCACAGATGCTGCCAGACTTGCTGAGATTTTCCAGCAACTTTGTTTTTGTTGTAGGGAATTGAAGGGTTTGGTGTGAAAGAGAGGATGGAGTCGTTGAAACTTGTCAAACGGGCGGCTAATTCTGATCTGCATAACCGATCAGGGCAAACTCCATCCCTTATTCCCTGAAGAAAGCTTCCGAAGCGGACTTTGAGTTGAGACATTGGAGAGCTGGATGAGGAATGTGATGTGATTTCATTTGTTGACTGAATCCTGTTTAAATCGGAACATATTTGAATATACTTGAATAAATGTGGAGTCTTTGAATGGCAAAGTCAATTTCCTGACGTGCAATTTCCCTATGATTTAAAACAACCTTCCCCAAGGGCAAATGATAGGTTCTTTCCTGTTTTTATCTTTAAAGATATACCTTCCCGATGAATAGACACAGCTTACCAAGTCTGATTCAATAAAATTCCAGAAATTTCGAAGTAGATTTCTACCCTTCCCTTTAAATACCCCCACCATCCCATAAATAACACCCCACACCCAGTTAATAGACTGTTCTCCCAGTAAACATGCCCTCCAGATCTCCAACCACTAAATACTTCTTTCTTTCATTAAACACACCTTCCTCTCATTAAATACACTCTCTGACCAGCAAATACCCTCTGTTTGATTCAATTAAAACTGAAACGTATTAGGAAGTTAAGAATGATGGAGGGGAGTTGGGTTTAATTTAGTTCACATTTCTGCTGAATTGCTGCACAGAATCATCCAATTCCCTTTTGAATCAAGTTGAGGTATCCACCTCATCTTCCTGAGATCAGTGCCAACGTTTACTTTCTTTATTTTTTTGTGGGATGTGGGCATCGCTGGCAAGATTTTGTTGCCCATAGCTATTTGCCCTTGAACGCAGTGACATGCTTGGTCATTCTGGGGGCAGTTAGGAGTCAACCGCATTGCTTCAGGTCTAGAGTCGCAAGCAGGCCGGATAGGGTAAGGACAGCGGGTACTCTTCCCTAATGGGTATTGGTGCATCTATGAGTTTTAAACAAGTTTCATGATCAGATTTTATCAGTCTTAATTTAAATTCCATCAGCATCTGTGGTAGGATTTGAACCCATGGCCCCTACAGCAATAGCCTAGTGTTTAGGATTATTAAATCAGTGACATTACCACCATGCTACAGTCTCGGCCTTACTAAATTTGGGAAAAAATAGTGTCCAACCCTCATTAGGAGGACTCTCATTTCCATGACTGAAACACAACATCTAGTTGTGATGACAGTAACATTTGGGGAATGTTAAGTGAGAACTGATTGGATATCTGAGGGATTGCAGACCAAGAAAGATTTCAGATGGACACAGACCTTCCGGAGGCTGGGCTGTATCTAAGGGCATTTTGGAGCCGTTTCCTTTTGAACTTCTCCATTTGTGAAGACATTTTCTTTCTCCAATGTGGAATGTTGAATTCAAAAAGTGAGGAAAACAAAGCCAGTGATCCCTGCCATATGTACAGTAACTCCTGCACTGTGTACAGCAATCCCTGCTCTGCACACAGTAATCCCTGCTTTGTGTAAAGTGAAATCTGCCATAATGTACAATAATCCTTGCTGCATGCATAGTGATCCCTATAGTATGTACAATAATCCCAACTGAATCTACAGGAATCCCTGCTGTGCATACAGTCATCAATGCTGAGGGTACAGTCATCTGTGTTGAGTGTACAGTCATCCGTGCTGAGGGTACAGTCATCCGTGCTGAGGGTACAGTCGTCCGTGCTGAGGGTACAAACCCTGGTACTTGCCTCCTCTGTATACGGCTGTGTATCTGAAACCCGCTAAGTCAGAGGATGATGATTGTACGATGTACTCCAATGCTCACTGTGTTGTGACCTCCAGCTGTTTGCATACATTTGACACTGATAAACTTTCAATCATTACTGAGCGTATTTAATGTTAATATGCAAACAGTGTGTAAATTGACTTGGGGCACCTGCAGGCATTAAAGTCATTGTCTCATTGCCCTCATTATTCAGGAGTTCTGAGCCTGTTGCATCAGTAAGTTTATGGCTGTACCTCAATCCCATTCAACCTGTTAGTTCCATATCCCTCAATCCCTTCCCTGCCAGAAACCAATCAAAAAGCTTCTTGACAACCCCGGCTGACTCTATAGCCGTGAAAAGTAGTTATGTCGGATGCAAAAACTCAACTCTGTTTCTCTCTGCCCAGATGCTTCCAGACGTGCTGCACCTCTCCAGCTATTTCTGTTTTTGACCAGAGAACAGTACTTTGTAACAGAGTAAACAGATTTGAAGACAGACTTGTGAGTAAACGATACTTTCCATACACACAGAACTGCACAGGAAACAAATATACAGCATTATCATCCAGTATTGGGCCTGGTGGCCGCCAACAGTGCGGCACTCCCTCAGTACTGACCCTCTGACAGTGCAGCACTCTGTCAGTACTGACCCTCTGACAGTGCGGCACTCCCTCAGTACTGACCCTCTGACAGTGCGTTACTCCCTCAGTACTGACCCTCTGACAGTGCAGCACTCCCTTAGTACTGACCCTCTGACTCCCTCAGTACTGACCCTCTGACAGTGCGTTACTCCCTCAGTACTGACCCTCCAACAGTGCAGCACTCCCTCAGTACTGACCCTCTGACTCCCTCAGTACTGACCCTCCGACAGTGCAGCACTCCCTCAGTGCTGACCCTCCGACAGTGCGGCACTCCCTCAGTACTGACCCTCTGACAGTGCAGCACTCCCTCAGTGCTGACCCTCTGACAGTGCGGTACTCCCTCAGTACTGACCCTCTGACAGTGCGTTACTCCCTCAGTACTGACCCTCTGACAGTGTGGTGCTCCCTCAGTGCTGACTCTTCAACAGTGCAGAACCCTCTCAGTGCAGACCCTCCAATAGTGCGGCACTCCCTCAGTACTGGTTCTGATTAAATCATGATCAAGAACTTTTTTTCTTTCACTGAGCAGACTTTATTATCAAGTTGTCCTTTAACACATTGTTTCATACAGAAAGCAGAAATTCTGAAGATTGATAGAATTGAGAAATAAAATGTGACTTTGTCATTATGAATTTCTACAACATTCAGCACTCTCCCTGCCTGGAATACCATCCTGACCAACGGGGTATTACTGGCAACTATAACATGTTAATTGTTATGTGTCACTCTATCATCTGGTTCAAGTTGAATCAAATGTCAAACTGTGTCCAAGGTCTCCCCATCACACACTCTATCTACCTCTCCCTCTTTCTCACTTCCTTCCAATCCTCTCTTTCCCCTTCTCACTCTCAGCTCTCACCTCTTTACTGTCTGTGTATCTTTTCCAGCAGTAGAGTGGAGTATACAGAGTGTTAAAGCCTGTTTATATCAGCTCATTGGGTGTGAACCTCGTTATCTTGCTCTCTTTAGCCAGTGAAAGAGAAAAACACAGCGAAGGACACAAAGTATGAGAGAGTGTGAGAAAGTCAAAATCATATGGCGACTTTGCTTCCTCCTCTCCTCGGCTTCCTCACTCTTCCCTTTTTTCTCTGTTGCGGTCCTTTTCTATTTTGCTTTTGTTTTTCTATGTTCGTTCCTAGTTTCCAACCATCACCCTGTGCATCTCTCCCCAGTACGGACAGGAGAGTGACCTACGGGAGAGGGACCGGTTCAGGAGAGTGACCAGTGCAGGAGAGTGGCTGTAAAGGAGAGTAAACAGTTCAAGAGACTAATCTACAAGGGAGTGACCCATACACTGGTGTGAAGGGAGCAGCAGAGGTGATAGTTACTGGACAGTGATCCAAAGGGGAAGGAGTGAATTTGTTTTTGATGTTTGGTTGCATGGTAAGGGGTCCTTGTGGTTGGAGTTGACTTTGTTGAGGGAGCTGGTCAGAGAGGCCCCATGACTGAGGTGAACTTGCTCCTATAGCACTGTGTGTTTGACAAGGCTGAGTGGGGCTGCGGGTTGCTCCTGAAGCTGTGGTGGATCCCTGGTTGTACCAGGGTCAGTATTCACTCGGTACTGACTGATAGGCCTGATATTCAGTGGGGGTTTAGTGTTGAACCACTTTGTCAGGAGGTTATCAAGTTGCTCCTTGTTTGTGATGCCATGAAGCGGGTCTCCCTCAGCCCCCCTTACATGGTTATCATGGCAATACATCTGGAACCCATCCTGCATGCTGTCGAAAAACTGGATGACATAGTGATGGGCAAATCCTCGAGCGTGCTCACAACAGGTCTCTTCAAACACCTTCTGCTCGATGTCGATGTAGTTGCTCCAGTACCGGCTCTGGAGGTAGGTGACATGTTTGGAACATGGCTTGAGGCAGCGAGAGAGGAATGCAGTCAAAATCAGAACCAGGAGGATGGTCCACCCTAGAGTCTAAAGACAACAATTAACAAACAGCCATTGGCACAGCAAGGTTGTATATTTACAAAGGAGGCTAAAGGACGGGAGAGTGACTGAGGGAAACTCTGAGGGACAGAGGGGTTACTCAGGTCTAAGGTCCTATATCATGATCCCAGTTGGGAGACCGAAGGATCTCAGAGTGATGGAGGGGGAAAGTCAGGATAGAGGGACTTGAGAATTGAGGAATGAGAGCGGTGAGATTAATGAAATTAAGTCAGGTGCTGTTAAAGAAAGCTGGTTTACCTGTCGAACAAGTGACCCAGTCACAGCAAATACAGCCCTGTTCAAATGACAGTCCCATAACAGCCTTTTATTTACAGTTTCAGCACTGAGAGTGGAACTAACTCAACATCCCATGGCAATCAGCATTAACCAGCGACTTAGTACGGCTCTCTCTGTGTCACTCAGCTGTCCTCCCATCTATAACAGGTTAGAACTGGGAGACGCTAACATTTCATCCCATGGATTTCAGCTTCTACCCAACCTGACAGAGTGTGAAGGTTACCAATTGGAGACTGACATTGGGCAGACACTGCGTGTTCTCAGTTTCGATTTGTCCCTGACTTTCCTGCCCCTCGTTTACTCTCTCAACACACTCCCTGATTTTGACCGTCTGGATTAACTCTCCCACTTAACCTCCTCTGCTGTACGGAGCTCCTGTAATTGCTCCACGTTCACTGAGGTCCCCCGAGGTGGCCCTACACAGGTCCAGACTGTGGGAGGTCAAAAGGCCATTCGGCCGGTTGTTTGGTTACGTACATGCCCAGGTGTCCTTGGAGAGGGAATAGACAGCATCCATTGTCTTACTGGAGAACCATGGTTGATGGAAACCGCTGGGGCTAGTGTGCAGTGATAATCACTGCATTCATATTTTAATTTGATTTTGTTCATTTAAATTTTCAATTTTTTTATCGCTACAGTGCCCCTTTAAGGGGCCTGCCACCTCTTCATTTGGATCAATTTGTTTTAATTTGGTTTGATGAGTGGTTTGGGCACATTCAAAGAATTGGTACCGTTCTAGTAAAGTGGAGGCAATGGTGTAGAGGTACATCACTTGGCTGGAAATCCAGAAACCCAGGCTCAGTGCTCGGGAGAAATGGGTTTGAACCATGGAAGATGGTGAAATTTGAATTTTTAAAAAATCTGGCGTTAATTGCTGGTTGTTGTAAAAACACGAATGCTCTTCATGGCAGGAAATCCGCCATCCTTTCCAGATCTGGTCTCCACATGACTGCAGAACCAAAGCAACATGGTCGGTTCTTAACTGCCCACTGGGCAATTAGGGATGGGCAATAAATTCTGGCTTAGCCAGCGATGCCCACATTCCATGAATGAATAAAACAAAATCTCCTGGACACCCTTTTACCCCTCAGCCTTGACATCCTGCCTAAGTTGAATACGATCCCATTTGATTTGAGGCCAGTTTACCTGAGATACTGAGCGCAGGTACCTGTACACCGCTCTCCTGGGGAAGCTGAGGTTGTGGTGAAGCTGGTCAGCTGTGAGGTCCTTGCAGGGCACCTTGGACAGAAGGATCAGCAGATCTCCTCTAGACCAACTGCTCACGTTGACGAATCGAGCGGGATCCACCGAGGTGCTGAAAGCACAAAGAACGCATTTGCCATCCAACAGGGCAACGACGAGCCAGATGACAGGAGCGATGGCCGCTCTCTGGACTACAGCGAGGAACATGTAATGGAGTAAAGATGGGTCCTTGGTCCTCTGACTCTCCGGCCGCAGCCATTCCTCCAGCATCAACAGCGAGTGTTTGTTGACAATAATGCCACAGAAGAAGAGGATAATGGGTGGGATAAACATGACCCCAATCCCATAGACCATATTGTAAATGGGCAAACACGGGCAGATGAATTGAAAAGAGCTGTAGATCCGCATACTTGCCAAGGCCAGGATTCCACAAATCCCATTCATCACTGACTCGGAGTTGGATTGGAAGTGGCGGAAGATGCTGATGAAGCGATCCATGGTGGTCAGATTTGGGAATGATTTGCAGGAACAGAGCCAAGAGGTAACAAACCGTCAAGTGAGAATTCGACTTTTCACTGAGAGCTTGGGTGCTCGGCTAATCCTAACCCACCCCTGTCACACTCAGATTCGCTGACATTTGCTTTAAATTGGCCAACCAATTGGTCGAGGAGCTGTCACTCAAAGACAGACAGGTGTGTGCGCAAAGGGCACACCTGTCCACCAGGTGGGGCTGCTGAACAGAGATTTGCATTAAAGTGACTTAACTGTTTCAATGTGAATGAATCTGGAGTAACCCCATCATACATTGTCATGGTGCGGGGCAGCAGCTCATTATTTCTGGCATGGAACCATCACAGAGAAACAGTGTGGCTGGAAATAATGTGCATGAATGTGGAGGAAATGAGGGAGATCGATGCTATGATGCTCGTTTGGAGAGCCAGTGCAGGAACAATGGGCCAAACAGCCTCCTTCCATGAGTCTGTGATCACATGGGTAGGAAGAGCTCAGCCAACAACAAGAATCTGCATTTACATTGCACTTTTACAGCATCCAGGGTGTTAAATAGGCATAGTGTTTCATCATAAAAACAGAAAGTGCTGGAGAAATTCAGCAGATCTGGCAGCATCTGTGGAGAGAGAAACAGTGTTAACATTTCAAGACGGATATGATTCTTCTTCAGAGCTTAAAGTGTTGCAAATCTGTGCTTCTTATGCAGCAGATAGAGGGGGAGGAGGAATAGATTATGAGGGTGTCCAGAGCAAAAGACAAATGGGGTTGCTAATGATGGTGAACGGAAGGTAGAGATGGGAAAACGGCTGTAAATGAAGGTGTGAAAAGGAGAAAATTAATTTACTCTCCTGAGAGCAAAGTCACCAAGACACAAGGAAGTTGTGTATGTCTGTGCGTGTTTGTGTTTCTGTATGTGTGTCTGTATGTGTGTATGTGTGTGTGTCTGTGTGCATGTGGCTATGTGTGCGTGTGTGTGTATGTATGTGTGTGAGTGTGCGTGTGGGTGTGTCTGTGTGTGTGTATGTGTGTGTGGGAGAGTGTGTGCAAGTGTGTGTCTGTATGTGTGTGTATGTGTGGGAGAGTGTGTGTGTGTATGTGCATTTGTCTGTGTGAGTCTGTGTGTGTATATGTGTGTTTGCATGTGTGTGTGCATGTGTGTGTCTTTATGTGTGTGTGTATGTGTGTGCATGTGCTGTGTCTGTATGTGTGTGAGCATGGATGTGTGTCTGTATGCATGTATGTGTGTGTGTATGTGTGTGTGTGCGTGTATGTCTGTGTGTGTGTTTGCGTGTGTGTGTACATATTTGTGTGTATATGTCTGTGTGTGTGTGTGCTTGCATGTGTGCACATGTGTGAGTGTGTGTGTGTCTGCCTGTCTGTCTATGTGTTTTTGCCTGTGACTTTGTGAGCATGTGCATGTGTGCTTTGCTCTGTGTCCGCACACATGTGTACTTTAGCCTCTGTGTATTTGTGTGTGTGTGTGTCTGTCTGTCTGTCTGTCTACGTGCTTCTGTCTGTATGTGTCTGCGCACGTGTGTGTGTGCTTTGCTCTGTGTGTGCATGCGTGTGTGTACTTTTGTCTCTGTGTGTGTGTGTGTGTGTGTGTATGTGTATGTGTGTGTGCTTTTGTGGATGTCTGTGTGTGCATGCGTGTGTGCTTTTGCCTGTGTGTGCGCATGTATGTATGTGCTTTTGTGTGTGCATGTGAATGTGTGCATGTGTTTGTGTGCTTTTGTGTGTGCGTGTGTGCTTTTGTCTGTGTGCACTTGTGTGTATGTTTGTTTTTGTGTGTGTCATTGTGTGTGAGTGAGTATATGTGTGTGTGTTAGTGAGTGTTAGGGGAGTGTAGGAGTGTCAGAGGTGGGGTGAGGGGTAGGTCATAGGATGTAAGAAATGTGGAGGATACAGAGGTGATGCTTGCAAATTGTAGAATTCAAAGTCGAATACTAAAGCTTGTAAAGTGGCATGGCAGAAAATGAGGTGCTGTTCCTACAGCCTGATCTGCAATTTGTTGGAATACTATAGCAGGCCCAGGACAGAAATGTTTGCCTGGGAGCACAGACATTTATTGAAATGGTCTGTACAGACAGATAACCACAAGTTTGGTTGTAAAGACAGATTTAAGATAAGGAGATAATTCCGGAGCTTTGGAAGCAACTGAAGGCAAGGTCACCAGTGGTACAGCAACTTACATGATGGATGATCAAAAGGCCAGAACTGAAGAAAGTTAAAGATCTTGGTGGCTTGTGGAGCTAAAGGAATATTTTCATTGTAATTGTAAAATTGTACGAAAGTATTAATATCTAAAATGTAACATTGCCACTGCAACATTCTGGTGTTAACTCCTTCTTTGGGTCTGCAAAGCTTGCTTTAAGCAGCCTGTTCCTCTCTCACACAGAGCCTGCCTGACCCTCTGAGGATTTCCAACGTTTTCTGTGTTCATTTGATAGCCTCATGGCAATTTGTTATATTGAGTTCTTCTTCACCGTATGACCAGAACATTGAACACTGTGAAAGCAGCCTGGCTAATGCTGTTTCTAGTCAATCTCCAGGAGAGGATTGGGGATTATCTAGTTGGAGGTACATGACCACCAGCATCACTTTCTACATTAGATGGTACGGTGGTAATGATATTGCGTTAGTGAGTTCAAGCCTGGGTTAATGTTATGGAGTCAAATTCCACTGAATTTAATTCAATAAAATATGGTGTCCAGAACTGATCCCAGTGACCTGAGACTAGGTCTGACTATGGCTCTGTAAATAGCTACCTGGGTTGTGCTAAAAAGGCTGCAGCCTGACTCATGAACCAGGCCAGATTGCTACCTTGGCTCTGCAGGGATTGTCTACTGCTTCCTAAAGCCACATACAAAGCAAAATGGAGTGTCTGTCTGCGCTCTGACACTGTCAGGTCAGATCCAACTTTGCTCATCACTTCCCTCTAAATTCTGTCACTCAGAGATATTCAACCCTTAATCTCTAAACCTCTCTCTGACTAGCTAGTCTACCTAATTCCGAATGCTGGTCTGCTATTAATGTGGAATACCCTGATTTTAAACAGAAAGGTACTCCTCTAACCCTCCCACCCAATTCTTGACTTCAAGGAGTTTTGAAACATTACGATCAATGGTCTATACTCTCTCTTCCTCAGCCCCTGAATTCTCTCGATCTGTGGTCTTTTAACATTTTAGCTTTGATTAAAGTGACCTTTCTCCATGTTGGTAGGTGAGCAGGAGATGTCCTGGACAACATTCCACCCTTAACCAATGCCACTAAAAATTAACTGGTGATCCTTTGTGGAATCCTACTGTGCTAACATGGCTGTTCCCTTTTGTCCACGCATTAAGGCACTGCATTTCCAAGAATTTTGTCACAGTTGAAGGGATTGCAGAGGGGATGAAATGGTGAGGAAAAACACTTTGTAAACAACAAATATTTCATTGACAGGTTTTATTAAGTGGCTTCTCTGACACAAAGTATAGACTAGAGAAAAAAAATCCAATTGTCTGATTGTATTCCCTGAGTATGACGGTTGGCCCACATCTGGTGAACTCTGGCAATGAGCTGTAAATATGACATTATCCAGATCTCTGTAGCCAGCTCCAGTATAATCTGAATTCAGATGCCTAGCATGCCCATCTCACACCAGGACCGGACACAGCCGCGATCCCTGTTGACAGTCACTCAGAGGAAATGTCACTCTGCAGCAGGGTATCATGGAGTAGGAGGAGGGGCAAACACAAAGCTCGTTCTTGGACAAGACACAATCCCAGAACATCGTCCTCCAGTAAACTTCCAGTTCCACCTCACTATGCAAAATAGTGGGGACTCTGGGACAACAACGGAGGTCGGAACTGCATTCTTAATCGAAGAAGTAGAGGGTTCTAAAGGAATTCTTGTCACCTAGAAACACTGGCTTGTGAGTGTCAATCAGAGCAGATTCTTCCTCTTCCTTCGTCTCAAACTGATGAAGGTTCTTTCTAGCTGTTGGGAAGGAACAGTAGAGATTCTGATGAAAAATCTTTAACCTCAATGATCAAATGCTTCTCTGAATAACCCCACATGCTATTCTGCATTCTGTTCTGTTACCCTTACGTAAGATAAGATTTGTCTGGTTAGCATGAAAAACAATACTTTTCATTGTATCTTGGCACATGTAACAATAATAAATCAAATCAAATCAAATGACACTCCAGCTGCTCTCTGTCCACTCACGTAACCTGTCTATTTCTAGATATACTACATCCATTCTTTATCCATCCTACAGGTTATATCGTCAAACACCCTTACACATTTTTCACACAGGTTTTTCTTTTTTGTAAAGCCATGTTGTCTCCAACTTATCATACGATAATTTTTTTCAAGTGCATTATCAAAATTTCCTTAATTATAGATTCTAACACTTGCCTGATGACTGATGTTAGGTTAGACCAACCGTTCCTTGCTTCCCTGTTTCTTTTTCTCATTTTTTGAATAGCAGTGTTAATGTTCGCTAACTTTGAATCTACTGGGACATTTTCAGAAACAAAGGAACTTTGGAAAATCCTAACCAGTGTATCTACTATCTCTGTAATTATCTCTTTTAAAACCCCAGGCTATGGGCCATCTGTGAAGGGGATTTATTGAATTTTAGTCTTGTTTGTTTCTCCAGTTCATTTTCTCTGCTGATTTTGAACACCTGAATTTCCTCAATCTTTTTAGTCCCCAGCTGACCCTCTATTTCTGATGTGTAACTTGTGTCTTTTTCTGTGAAGGCAAACAGAAACAATATTCAATGTCTCTGCCATTTTCCCATTCCACAAGATAATTTCTTCTGTCTCTTTCTCGAAGGAACCCACATTAAAACGTTCCAAAAATTCATCTCTGCAATGGGATTTGCCAATTTGATTGATCCACTGTATATGAAGATTGAAGGCCCCAATGCAACTATTACATTGCCTTAGTTAAAAGCCGAAATTATTTCTTGTTTAATGCTCTGTCCACAATATACCTACATCAATGTTTTCTGACCCTTGTTATTCCTAATCTCCACTATTACTGATTCCACTTTCTGATCATCTGAGCTAAA